CAGAACGGCTCCGCCGTCGCCGGCTCCAGTCCAGCCCGAGTCCGTGCCCCAGAGGGTCTCCGCCGTTAGCGGCTCCAGTTAGGCTCCCAAAGGGGCTCCGCTGTCGGCGCCCTCCAGACTTGCTTTTAATTTTCCTCACATTGGCCTCCTTCAACACCTGTTAGAGAATAACCAGCCTTTTCTTTTCAGCATCCTGACTCAATTTCAGCTGCAGTTATTGGTGATAAATCAACATGTGACACTGTAAGTTGCCATTTGGCTCCATCTGCTGGTCAACAACACATTCAGTTCTTAGGCGAAGATGTTTCTGCCTTAATCTTCATTTAGCCAGTTAAAGGCTAAGTCTTCTCAAGTTTTCTTACTGTTGCCAATCCTAAGAACGTCCCTGATCGTCTCTTTGTCCAAAGCGATAAGATAAATCGGGTTTTTTTCTGTGCCACAGAGCTCTACTTTTGCTCCAAAAACATCAATAAGTCACACTGCACTGGCTAAAATGTTCTTTCATTACTACAAACACACAAAAATCTACTCACTTGAGCACCGATGTGGATCAGCTGAAAATAGTCCTCATGCTCCTGTTTCAGAAACGTTTCAGATGACTGTATATTTATGAGCCGTTTTGAAATATTTATTTCTGTGCAGCGTTTCTCATCAATACAGTAAAACGTACATTCAGTGGTACTGTATTAATGAGGACACACAGTATTTTTTATTGATTTTAGCCCAGCTTTTAATACTAAAAGTAATATTTATCCATACTTACTATTGGACACACAGAAACAGATGACTAGATAAATAGTTTGATTTTCAAATTGCATCTTTTTTTTAAATTAACAGAGTCCAAAAAGTAAATTATTAAGTACATATCTTTCCTAAAACTTACTGTTACAGGGGCGTGTAAGCTGCTTGATTTCCTTCGCATTATAGATGAATGGATGTTTGCGCAAAATTCCCCAAAATTACATTGTGAAATTCTCTGATGACATCATTTATTATTACAAAGAGATGAAAACACATCATGTTATCACTGAAATGTTGTGATACTTGCCACCAAAGTTAATTAATGAGAATAATCCAGCTCTCATCCACAACATGCTGATAAAACAGGTTCATTCACATAAATATCTTGGTGTCATGTTCATGTTTAAAACCTTTGCTTGAGGTCACAACAGAGAATGTACTTTTTAAGTACTTTTTCGTTTATTGAATGATTTTATAGGCTATAATTTGATATGACAGACATGTAACCTGTCTGCACAGTCAGACCATCACTACTTTCAGTCTCTTTAAGAAAAATACATGCGGAGGAGAGGACAGAAGATTCCAAATGATACGACACACAACCTGAATCCAGAATCTGAAGTGTTGACGTCAGGCAGAAGGTTCAAGATGGCAAAGAATAAACTGAACTGACAAGAACTCAGCTGTCTTTAAGATACTAAACAGCAACAAGTAGGAGACCTGTGATTTCAGTGGGTTTCAGACAGTGCGGCTCTAGCATTTATCAGTATTGATCATATCTATTTTTATTTCCTATTATTTTACAAAGTCACTGATTTGACTACAGCTGTTGTTTTTACCATTTAACAACACTGCACTGCAAACCCACTCTTTTAAAAATGTAAAATTAGGCACTTTTTTATGATCCTTGCGTGAAAGTGCATTATGATTTTGCTGACAAAGGTGCAGTGTGATTCAGTGGTGACAGAGACAAGCTTCCCTTTGGGACAATAAAGTATATATCTATCTACCCATCTATGAAACTCAACCTAAAATGCAAAAATAACATTCTTAATTTTCTGTATGTTCACTGTCTTCTACAGACATATTTGTTATATTTAAATTGTACATCGTAAACCAAGTAAAACAGCAGTAAAATCACTGGTTTAGTGGCATTACATTTCTGATTCAAGATGAAGGACACATTTTTTCCTACAGGAACTGTGCACAGTATTTCAAGAAACTAGAGACTAATAAATAACATGAACCATGTATGATGGCACATTATAAGTCATCTGCAGAAGTTACTCCATTGCACAAAAAAAAAAGCCTGAACATTTTGTTTTAGTGACGACAAAAAAACACCCAGAGTAACTTGTTCCACCACATTATCACTCCTCATTACTTACCTGCTTTTTTTTTTAAAGGTTTTTCTGCATTTAACTGAGCATCATTGATCAGTTTTACTGTATTTCCATAGTTGTCAGTCTGTGAGTTTCCCCTGATCAGTGCTGCCAGTTTTAAAGACATGAGTCTCAGTAAAACTGTGAGCAAAAACAAGTCAGTAAGGTTTAATCCTGCAGTTTGGATGTTTGAGTGCAGTGAATAAAGTCAAACCTCCAACAGTGATGACGTTAAATCTTCTCACTCTTCGTTTTTTGTTGCAGCCTGCAGAGTAAAATAAACACAAGAAAATGAGTGAAGCTGACAAACACACTTGAGCACTTACACACTCAAAACTGTCATTTTCACCCAGATCTTTTTGTACATTAAGGTGCCCCAGAAGCTGGTGTGACACGTTTCATTTTCAAAGCTTTGCAGATGTCATTTTTGATGGAATAAAGTCTGCGCTACATTGCAACTAAACACTCCTGTCTCTTTATAAGAGTTTTTGCTTCTTTGTCTCCTATGTTCAGCTTTATGAATTGCATGCAGTTGCACAATTTCAGAGTTTACTTTTGAATGGATCACTGCAAGAAGACCAGAAGTATGAAATGTTAACAATCACAACCTCTGAAGATATGAAGGTCTGTAATGATCAGTACAAAAAAAAAAAAAAGGAATAAACAACAATTTGCATTTTTACAGGCACCTCTGTGTCTGACCATTTCTTAGCCAGGTCAGCTGCAAGCCTGATTTGAACCACCAGAAGAGTTATAATGTACTTGTGACTTTCTAAACACTCACTTTCTCAGCACCGGCCGCCATCAGAGCCTCCAGCTCCTGAGTCCAGCCGAGGGCATCGACCAGAGCCTGCACACCGCTGACCACGTCACCCAGCTGCACCACATCCTGAGGCCGGCGGCTCCAGGCGAACGGTCCCACCAAGTCCCTGTTGATGAGCAGCCGAGGAACTGAGCTGCGCACTGCTCCGGCCAGACTGGCAAAGGGCTCCACCTGCAGGGCAAAGAGGAGACATCAGCAGCAATGCTTTATGTTGGACTCTTCTCCAAAAAAAATTCTGGAAAACGTTAAATCTTAAATTTGTCATTTTTTCAAATCAGATCTTTAAACATCTCCGGTGGTTACACTCGTCTTCACACTTTTACACCAATAACACCAGCAGAAACTTCTCACAACACACATTTTGTTTAAAACATTGTAAAACTACACGATGATTGTATCCTGGTGGCTACATATTATACTACATGTTGTGATCCAGCCTCCTGAGCCTTCAAACATCCCCCCCCTCACCACAACCTTTTCAAATACTGTGTGTCACATTACAAGGACACCTCCTGAGTTTGCTGTTGCTCACCTCCAGTGAAGTTCCCATGATGATCAGAAGGTCTGCCAGCGGGAAGTCAGTGAGATACTTGAAGAAGTGACGTGGAAGCTCCTCCCCAAAGAACACGATGTCGGGTTTTACCACGCCCTTACAGGTGGGACACTTGGGGACCGTCCCGCTCATCACGTCTGGCTAACAAGTCACATAATGAAAACTTACTGTCTGCAGATTATTGGTTTTAAGCTAGTCTTTTATGCATGCAATAGAAAAGGCTGAAATCCTGCAGCCACCGACCTTATTAGAGGCATCTACTCAATAAAATGGTAAAAAGGTTGACAAATTCACATCTAAAATAACCTGAGCCTTTAGTGATGTCTCAAAATAGTTCAAATAAAATAAATGACTTCCACAAACATTTAAGCTATCAACAGCTCATCTTTAAATTCAAATGATTTCTAACTTATAGAAGGTGTATGCATTTACAGAATCACTGTTATCGTAAAAGTAATAGTCAAAAAATCTAGCAACAGTGTTTTGAATGTAACATTTAGATGCTTTTCCTTGTCATACTTTTAATTGAAAAATGAAAAGTGTTATACTTGGGACATCACTGCGGCCTTAAAGAATCTGTGATGTCAAAGTTTATCTGAATTACTTAAAAAATCAACAGAATAATCAATCATATTGTTTGCAAAACTCTAGTTACTTCTGACAACCCTGAGTTGGACTTACGTTGTCACAAGTACAGTTACTAAATGTAGGATTATGTTTGGGTTGTGACTCACCCGGAGGTCCTCGCCCTCGTATTTCCTCAGGCACACAGTGCAGGTGGCGGTGGCGAACGTCCCGTGAGCCTCCACCAGCATCGCCGGAGGAATCCCTGCAACTGACAAACAACAAGAACACAAGTGTCTAATGGCAACACTGTCTTTGTGGTGTGCAGTGATTCAAAAGAGGTAAACACATACGTCTCTCCAGCCCGTCGATGTTCTGCGTGTACATCCTGAGCAGCTGGTCCTTCTCGTGAAGCAGACGTACGAAGTAGTGCGTCAGGTTGGGCTGGTAGTTTCCTGGATACAGCTCTTTGGCCAGGGCGAAGAAGGGGTCAGGGTTTCGGTGGAAAAAGCCGATCTCGAATATGGCCTCGGCATACGGCAGGTTGTACTGCTGCAGGTTGTCATAGAGACCGCTACCTGGAGACCTGTGTGCCAATAAAGACTCACCTGCTCATCCAGTCCTTATATTTACAGGTTTCTTCATACAGAAAAATGCAAACACATCTAACCTTTTTTACCTGAAATCAGGGATGCCACTGGGAGTGCTGATCCCAGCTCCAGCCATCACCACGACCCTCTTGTACTTCTTCTCTCGGATCTTCTTGGCGATGCCCTCCAGAGTCTGCTGCTGGTCGGACGCACCGTCGCCGCTGGAGAAAAATCCTCGGGTCCCATTCCAACAGGAAGAGTGAATTCGTCTGTGAAGGAGGAAAATGTGATGGTCAAAATGTTTTCTGCACATAAATATGAAATTCTGGAGTGTACGAGAGACTCTCTCCAGCCACCTGAGGCATAATATTCCCACAAGTCCACTTTCATTTTTGGTAGATTACTAGTTAAACAACGACTTGAAGGTAGGATCACACATATATGCAGTATCTCACAGTTTCAGTGCTCAACAATAACTCAAAAACACAAATCTTATTCTTTCTTTGCTCATTTACAAATGCTAAATGTACTTTTCAACAGAGCTGCTCATATTAATTGATTAATCAATTACGAGAAAATTAAATTTGAGCTATTTTTTAAGTGTTTTCTAAGTCTTCTACAACTGCAAAGCAAATATCGTTGGATTTTGGGTCGGTGTTATTATCTATTATCATTATTATTATTTGTGGACATTCACCACTGGATTTGGGAAACTGTAATGATCATTTTACACAATTTTAAAGAAGACTTTCAAGTAACAAACACAAAAACTTCGGTGCTTTTTGTTGTCATACAGTATAATAATCTAAAAATGTAAAGTTTTTGACTGTGTGTCAGATAAAAGAAGACAACTCAGGACACCAGTTTATTGGCCCAACAACTAATCGCTTAAAAAAAGAGTTGCAGCCCGACTGTACATTATCACAATAGCTGCAGACTGGCTTTTTTGCCATGTTTATAATGACTAACCATTGCTTCTCTTTGTGTGTAAGCTTTCAATAAATTCTCAAAACGTCCTCAGCTGTACAGACCACTACCTGATTTAACCCAGTCTATATGTGACCCTGCAGTGTCTGGCTCTGGCTGTCAGCTTAGTCTGTGTGTCCATGCAGGTGAAGTTACCTGGACAGAGCTGCTGCACCTTCTGATGTCCTTTGACCAAAGCCTACAAAAAACAACACGTGTCACTACACACCAACCACAAACACAGTCTCCGTTGCATCAGTTCAGCTCTGTCTGTAAACTAACCGTTTGCAGAGATTGTCCTGTTCGCTCCTGAACACAAACTGCGATACAAACAGCAAAGTCTGACAGGTGACAGGAATGAGGAGCTCACTACAGAAGTCATGAGAACACCTGGGACTGAATATTAAACCGCCAGCAGACTTTCACTGCATGTCTCCTGCTAACACCGCTACACACACCGGTTCATAGACATCTATATGACCCATTAAACTAACATAAACATGACAAAAAATGACAGTTTGCCTGCTGAACTGTGTGTGGTCGTCCTCTGACCTCCTTCTGACACAGACAGTACCGTAATATACGATGTCGCCTAACTTTAATCGTTAGCTATGTAGCTATATCGCCTATTTTGTTTAACTGCCGCCGTTTATTTCTAAAAAAAAAAAAAAAAAAAATCCGGCAGAACAATAAACACAAACCACGTATAGCAAAAGTAAAAATCAACTATACCGAGAATATAAACATAAGCTAGCATAAACTACCTTTTAACTGATCTGTCGCTTTAAAAAAGCTTTTAAAAACGCCCCCTTCATTTCCCATGATTCTTTGCGCCCCGAAGCTGCGCAGCCGCAGACCGACAACACGACAGGCTACTTGACGTTAGCAGAGAATTCAACAACACTTTATTAGTCAGGGATAAAATTTGACTCCAAGTTGTCGCCACCATGAAAGATGTTAGCGGGTACCTCAAACAGCAGCAGAGCAACAGCTCCACGCCGGAGATGGCGGCGGAGTGGCACTCCTTGGAGGATTTGTACAACAAAAGGTAAAAAAAAAGAAGCCGTAACAAGGCAGCTAGCTAATGCTGAAATGCTGTGCTAGCGCTAGGCTAGCTAAAATTAGCTAGCTCATTCATTGAAAGTGCCAGCTGAGTCATGCACGGAGCTAACGTTAGCTGCTTTAGCTGATGGCTAGCTACTGTTAGCCACAAACTCCAGCTGTAAATATAAGGCAGAAACTTGACTTCCAGTTTTCTTTTATATTTATTCACACTGCCATTACTGGGAAATAACAGTTTGTGGGTTGTAGCCTGTAGCTCAGTACCTAAAATGTAGGCCAGGAGAATATAAAGTTACGCAGCCTGTCAGAAGTTTTCATAGCTGGTTGGTAACATGGATGCTAAGGATGAGTCCACAGTTACTGAGCCATAGTAATGTTGTAATAATTAAAGCGACTGGCAGCTATTTCAACAGTTGATTAAACTTTGAAGCAATAATAGTGACACGATGACAAATACTGTCTTAATTCCAGCCACTAGATGAGGAAATTTGTTTGTTGTCATATATAACTGTACACTAAATGCTTATGGGTTATTTGGCAATGGTCGAATGCTCCGTGGTGTAGGTATTAAGAATTTTTAATTGCCAGTATATTCTGCTGTTTAGGTAATTATTAACATTATTAGGTTTACACTCATCAAACAGAACTTACAAATCTTCCTTTTCAGTATTTCCAAGAACTCTTAAATCAGAGTAAATGATGTTCTATCAGGTAGACTTGTCTTGTAGATTAGTTATGGGAAATAAAAACTGGTCTGCAATCAACATAAAAAATGCAACATCATGTGTTTGAGCTATTTTGCCCTACTTGCTGACTGTTAGGTGAACTGTTCAAAATAAGAAATGCTCACTTGTTCGGGAGTCCCAAAACATTTGATGTATTCAGATTAATAATAACATCAGCACATTTACAACTTACAGTGTCCTATGAACTTTTCCCCCTCTGACATTTCTGTAATTATTTAAGTCAGTGCAAACACCTCTTACTATTTGCTTTTAGAAGTAACGCCGTAAGACAAGTGGAGCTCATATGTGTGTAATCAATATGGGACACTTACACCAGCATATAAAAACTATAGTATTCTATATTTTGTAACTTTTTGCCCAAAAACAAGTGATTTTGAGTTTGTCATCAACTGGTGACTCTGACACTGAAATGCTTGTTGTGTTTTTTTTTTCTCAGATTGTGGCATCAGTTGACTCTGAAGCTGACAGACTTTGTTAAAGATCCTTGCTTCAAAACAGGAGATGGCCTCATACAGGTAACTACACCTTGGTTACAAATGTTAACGCCACTGTTCAGCTTTGAATAAGTGAGAACACATCTAGCTTTAATTTCAATGCACAGAGTGTAATATATGTTGCCACATGTAGACTTGTCTGTAGAGTATAAACACCAGCTAAGCTGTTGATTTATTTTCACAGAGCTCTCAAAGAACATTTATAATCATTGCATTACATTTTCTCCCTTTGAGAACTGAACCACTTCATTTACACCCGTCACAGCAAGAGCATACCTGTGCATTTCACATTGTACCAGCATGAAGCAGATATTCAGTCATAAGTAATCTCAGACGCACAACCTGTTCACAGCTTTATAATCAAAGAGTGGAATTAAGATTTCTGGAGTTGTTGAAAGGTGATTACACATTAGTAAGTTAGACACTAAACCACAAAGTTATTTAGTGTTTTCCTTCAGTTACACCCGTTTGTTTTTGTCTTGTGTGTTAGGAGCAGGCACATACCTGTGCCACTGTTTGAAGTCATTGCTATACTATTAATGTCCATTTTTTGATATTGTTACGTACACAATGTGGTTAGTATATGCAGAATTAAACAAAAAAAAAAATCAAATGATGTTCAAAGCAAGCCACTGTTTTCCACTGTTAAACATTGCATGACACCAGTATCAGGTAAAGTTACCAGCATGTTTCAAAGCAGCATCAGGAGCAGTTTGGTGTCAGGAAACAAAAGCATATGAAGGCTTCAGTGAAGCAGATGGTGTTGCAAGAAATATAGGATTGTTCAAGTAGCCACACCAAATAGTGATGACATGCGTTTCCACTGTGGCATCCCTGCAGGGGATCGTCATACCGAGCCACACCGGTGGATGACCAACTCATGCCAGTCTCCTCTACTGTCCTATATGACTAGAAAGATGTTTGTTTTTATGTATATTATAATCTGAGGTGTCATTGCTTTTGTAGCTTTTACCCAATTCTCTGTGGTTTAGAGTTGAGTTTCACTCCTGCGTCCTTGTTTGTACGTTCAGATATCAGCTTCACTTTATCATTACTGTAGATGTAAACTGAACCTTTCTTGTTGTTTCTGGTTCTCACTTGGCTTTTATTGGAAAAAAGATAGAGAGAATGTAGGTCCAATCCCAGTTCCCCCACTTGGCCTTCCCCCTCTGTTTTGCATGTAGGGTTTAGTGTCCTGTTCTTTGTGAGGTCAAGCAGTTGTGGTCATCTCACCCTGGAAATGGCCCTCTGTACTCCCTTATGTTGTGTTATAGGAGTATGACTGAATATTTTGGGGCCAGGAGACCAAACTGCTTTTATATATGTTAGAAAATAATTCAGAATTTCTTATGCAAGCCTGATTCATGTGGAAAATAGAAAGTGGTAACATGCTTATATTATAAGACCATCAGTGTGCAGTTTTGTTGAAAATGACATCTGTGTCTTGTGTCTTTATCACAACTGTTCTGTGTCAGATCTTTATGATCAGACTCTGAGATTAAAACAAAATGTGTTTTGCTGCATTTGTATCAGGTAAATTCAGTACAGGTACCTCATGATGCCGTTTTATCGGCGGTAAAGGCTCGCTGTAAACACCTGCCTGTTCAGAGGTGAAGAAGTAATGAAATGAAATGTGCATAAAACACAAAACAAGGAACAACACACAGATATTTTGTAAACAACATGGGTGTATCTCCTGTGTCATGTAATTTAGTTGCCATTTTGACTTTTGACGTTTTCTGTTTTCTTCTTTGTAGCTTTATGAAAATTTCCTCAGCGACTTCGAACACAGGTGAGATGAAAGTGGCTCAAACACTCAGTCTAACATCTCTCAGTTCAGCGTTTGCTGCTTGCTTGCCTGTTCTGCTGCTAATTTAATATATTTAAATCTCTTATCAGAATCAATCCATTGTCCCTGGTGGAGATTATACTATATGTTGCCAGACAGATGACAGGTAAGGACTAAAAGAAAGAAATACTGTAGGACACTTTTCTTTTAGCTGTTTTGCAGTGTTGATTAAAATGCTTTTTGTATCTAGATCCAAAAGATGCCATCACTTTTCTTGAGAAGACCAAGGAAAAGGTCAGTTAACCACTGCCAACGTGACAGGTTTACATTTTTCTACATAAGACATTTTAAATTTACATTTGAAACTGATCAAACTTCATCATGTCTCTGCCTGCTGCAGGTTAAGAGCAGCGAGGAAGCCGTCATCCTCTGCAAGACGTCTATCGGCAGCCTGAAACTGGAAATCAATGATCTCCCTGCCACAAAGGTGAAACTTTCAGCTCTTAGCTGCTGACTCAAAACCTGCCTCACACCTCTATGGGGGTATTATTGTAGCATAACTATTTGTAAATGTGTGTGGAGAGTTGTGTGTCTGTATCTCAATCTGTGTGTCTGTAGAGAGATTTGTCGATGAACATGTGCAGATTGTGAACACAAATTCCCAGAAAAAGAGAAGGTGTAGCATGTCTAAAAACGTCTAGAACATTTTACAAATCTGTTCTTTGCATGCAGATAAAGTGAAAGGACCACCTGACGTTCAGACGTTTAAAAGACTGCTGCCTGTTGCCTGGCTGTACCGTGATGCTGCACACTTATTGCTTCTTTGTTTGACTCTTCCAGAAAATCATCGAAGACGTTGAGGAAATGTTGAATAACTTGCCCGGTGTGACGTCAGTCCACGGCCGCTTTTACGACCTCTCCAGCAAATACTATCGCATCATCGGGAACCACGCCTCCTACTACAAGGACGCTCTGCGCTACCTGGGATGTGTGGACATCAAAGACCTTCCAGGTGAGCAGCAGCAGCAGCGGCATGATGGGAATTAAACTGGACTCTATAAAACACAACACATTACCCGTATCACTGCCTGAATTGCGGTTGTTAACTCCACAGAGACGGAGAAGCAGGAGAGAGCGTTCACACTGGGACTGGCTGGACTCTTAGGAGAAGGCGTTTACAACTTTGGAGAGCTGGTGGGATTTTCACTAAAGACAGCGGTTGTCGAGTGTTGTTCAGCTGAAGGTCAGTGTTTTAATGATCACTTCTGCTGTTTTGTATTTGCAGCTGATGCATCCTGTGCTGGAGTCCCTGAGGAACACAGACAAACAGTGGCTTATCGATACACTATACGCCTTCAATGGAGGAAATGTGGAGAAATTCCAGGGCTTCAAGTCGGCCTGGGGCCAACAGGTGAATGCTTTACCTTCAACTGAGGCGAAAACCAGAGTTTCTGTTCATTTTAGGACTGTTTAGGACTGTAACCCTCTGAGCCAAAGACATGTTATCTTTAAAAATACTGACAAAAATACAGAATTTATCTGAGCCAGAAACAGACAGACAGATTCTTTAGATTTTCAAGTTTC